GAATTTCATGCAATTGGCCTCTAGTTATAAATAATGCTGCAATAGTGGCCCGAGACTGCTGCTGCGTTGAAGTGGACAATAGAAGTCCTGATGGACGGGGGCGATCGTGAGGAACTTGGAGAATCTGGGGGAGTGGGCATTTCCCTATCAGATCTCTGTCCACAGCCAGTGGCACAACAGAGGAGGGTATTTCTTGGATTTTTATGCACCAACAACAACTGTTGAAAGCATGATGGAGCACTTGTCTCAAGACATTGATGTAATCAGACCTAATATTGTAAAACACCCCTGCCCCAGGAAGTAAAGGAGTGTGAAGGGATTGTCCCAGTCCCACTTGAAGAAAAACTGTATTCCACAAAGAAGAGGAAATGAGGATTCTCCAGATTTTAGCTTTCTATTCAGTTCTCTCACTTTTGAGCATCATGGATGAATAATTTACAAGCTTGACCTTTACATAAATGTGTGTTAGGTGCCATTTGAGTGTTCTGGGTATTTTTAGCTCTTGATTTCCTTTGCTGGGAGAGGTGGAGGAATGGCTTGCTTGGAGCCACTGTGTAATCTGCGGGGTCCCACTCTCCAAGTCAAATATATTGTTCTTGATTTTGTTAAATTAAATGTAATTGTTTTTGCCCTATAACACTAACACCATTTTGAAGAACAAAACTTATAAAACTATCTTGGATTGTGAGCTAATTATTCATACTGTATAATCATGCAAGATAAAATATCATTCAGATTGTTTTAAAAAATACTGCAATAAATATATGGATGTATACATCTTTTAGAATTAGTGTTTTCAATTTCTTTGGATAAATATCCAGAAGTGGAATTGTTGGGTCATATGATAGTTCTATTTTTAATTTTTTGAGGAAGTTCTATATTGATTGCTGCACCAGTTTGCAATCTTGCCAATAGTGCACCAGGGTTCCCTTTTATCCATATCCTTGACAACACTTGCTGTTTGTTGATTTATTGATAACAGCCATTCTGACAGGTGTGCGGTAGTATTCATTATAGTTTTGATTTGCATTTCTCTGATGATTAGTGATGTGCATTCACATACCACATGAATTATATAAGTCTAGTAGCCACGATAAGTCTAGTACTCATCTGGCACCATGTATAGTTATTACAATGCTACTGACTATATTTCCTATGCTGTACTTTACATCCCCATGACTATTTTCATAACTGGCAATTTGTACTTAATTCCTTTTACTTCTTTTGCCCATCCCTCTATTTGCCCTCCTATCTGCCAACCATCAGTTTGTTCTCTGTATCTATTAGTTTATTTTCATTTTGTTTATTTTTTAGGGCCTACATATAAGTGAAATCATATGATATTTGTCTTTCTCTGTCTGACTTATTTCACTTGGCATAATAACTTCTAGGTCCATCCATGTTGTCACAAATGGCAAGTTTTCATTCTTTTTTATGGCTGAATAATATTCCATTGTATATATGTACCACATCTTTCTTATCCATTAGTCTATAAATGGACACCTAGATTGCTTCCATATCTCGACTATCCTATATAATAAAAGTGTAGTATGGAAATTGTCCCCTCCACTGGGAGTTCATCCGGGAGTTTGACCAGGGGGTGGGGCTGGCAGGGGGAAGGGAGGAAGCAGCCAGCAACTGCTAGGGACCCTACCAGTGCATGAATTTCATGCAATTGGCCTCTAGTTATAAATAATGCTGCAATAGTGGCCCGAGACTGCTGCTGCGTTGAAGTGGATGATAGAAGTCCTGATGGACGGGGGCGATCGTGAGGAACTTGGAGAATCTGGGGGAGTGGGCATTTCCCTATCAGATCTCTGTCCACAGCCAGTGGCACAACAGAGGAGGGTATTTCTTGGATTTTTATGCACCAACAACAACTGTTGAAAGCATGATGGAGCACTTGTCTCAAGACATTGATGTAATCAGACCTAATATTGTAAAACACCCCTGCCCCAGGAAGTAAAGGAGTGTGAAGGGATTGTCCCAGAAAAACTGTATTCCACAAAGAAGAGGAAATGAGGATTCTCCAGATTTTAGCTTTCTATTCAGTTCTCTCACTTTTGAGCATCATGGATGAATAATTTACAAGCTTGACCTTTACATAAATGTGTGTTAGGTGCCATTTGAGTGTTCTGGGTATTTTTAGCTCTTGATTTCCTTTGCTGGGAGAGGTGGAGGAATGGCTTGCTTGGAGCCACTGTGTAATCTGCGGGGTCCCACTCTCCAAGTCAAATATATTGTTCTTGATTTTGTTAAATTAAATGTAATTGTTTTTGCCCTATAACACTAACACCATTTTGAAGAACAAAACTTATAAAACTATCTTGGATTGTGAGCTAATTATTCATACTGTATAATCATGCAAGATAAAATATCATTCAGATTGTTTTAAAAAATACTGCAATAAATATATGGATGTATACATCTTTTAGAATTAGTGTTTTCAATTTCTTTGGATAAATATCCAGAAGTGGAATTGTTGGGTCATATGATAGTTCTATTTTTAATTTTTTGAGGAAGTTCTATATTGATTGCTGCACCAGTTTGCAATCTTGCCAATAGTGCACCAGGGTTCCCTTTTATCCATATCCTTGACAACACTTGCTGTTTGTTGATTTATTGATAACAGCCATTCTGACAGGTGTGCGGTAGTATTCATTATAGTTTTGATTTGCATTTCTCTGATGATTAGTGATGTTGAGCATCTTTTCATGTGCAGTTGGCCATCTGTATGTCCTCTTTGGAGAAATTCATATCCTTTGCCTATGTGTGGTTTTTAAAAAATATATTTTGTTGATTTTTTACAGAGAGGAAGGGAGAGGGATAGAGAGTTAGAAACATCGATGTTTGTTTCAGCTGCCTCCTGCACACCTCCTACTGGGGATGTGCCCGCAACCAAGGTACATGCCCTTGACCAGAATTGAACCTGGGACCTTTCAGCCCACAGGCCAATGCTCTATCCACTGAGCCAAACCGGTTAGGTCCTTTGCCTATATTTTAATTGGATTGTTTGGGTCTTTATTTTTTTTTATTTTATGTTGAGCTGTATGAGTTTGTTATACATTTTGGATATCAACTCCTTATTAGGTATTTCATTTGCAAATATCTTCTTTCATTCAGTAGGCTGTCTCTTTTTTTTATGTTTTCCTTTTACTGCAAAAGCCTTTTAGTTTAATGTAAGTCCCATTCATTTATTTTTGTTTTGTCTTTGGCCTAGGAAACATATTAAAAAATATTACTAAGAGTGATGTCAGAATATTGCCTATGTTTTTTTCTAGGAGTTTTATGATTTCAAGTCTTACATTTAAGTCTTTAATCCACTTTGAGCTTATTTTTTTATATGGTGTAAGAAAGTGGCCTCGTTTAATTTTTTTGTAATGTATCTGTCCTGATTTCCCAGCATCATTTATTGAAGAGACTGTCTTTATACCATTTTACTAGTATATTCATGCTTCCTTTATCATAGACTAATTAACTATATATGTGTGAATTTATTTCTAGACTCTCTATTCTGTTCCATTAATTTACGAGTCTGTTTTTATGCCAGTACCATGATGTTTTGATTATTATAACCCTGTAGTATAGTTTGATATTGGGTAGTGTGATACCTCCAACTTTGTTCTTCTTTCTCAATATTGCTGAATCTATTCAGGGTCTTTTGTGGTTCCATAATAAACTTCAGTATTATTCTAGTTTTGTGGAAAATATCATTGGTATTCTGATAGGAACTGCATTGAATCTGTAGATTGTTTTGGGTAATATGGACAGTCTAAAGATATTAGTTCTTCCAATCCATAAGCACTATATAGTTTTCTGAGTGCAGGCCTTTTACCTCTTTGGTTAAATTTGTTCCTAAGTATTTTGTTCTTTTTGATGCAACTATAAATGGGATTGTCTCTTAATTTGTCTTTTCGATAGTTTGTTATTGGCATATAAAAATGCATCTTGCTTTTCTAAGTAAGTGATTGTTCCTATAAAATTATGTTAGTATTTACATTAGGGTAGTATTAATTAATTTATCGAGAGTCTAGGGAGATTGGACATTTTCATTCCTATTCAGGAACAAGGTATGGCCCACCCGAGGATATGTTTTCATTGCTTTTTAGAGAGAGAGGCAGGAGGGAGAGAGAGAGAAAGAGAGTGAAACATGGATGTATGAGAGATACATTGATTGGCTGCCTCCCTTACGCCCTGGACCGGGGGATCCAACCCCACAACCTAGGTAGGTGCCCTGACAGGTAATCAAACCTGCAACCTTTTGGTTTACAGGTCATTGTTCCAACTAACTGAGCCACCCTGCCAGGGCCCCACTCTGTTTTTAACCTCTTATCTTACCCCCTCCCAACACTCATGTGCTTTTACATACACGTGAACACACATGTGCATGCAAATGCACATACACATCCCCCCCCCCCCCGCCAAACACACACTCAAACCATTCATCTCTTCTTTCTATCTGTCTGCTAAGCACAATAGCACCAGGTAAAAGTCAGCAGAGACAGTAAGGAAATCTAAGGCGCTGGGACACACGGAGGTGAAATTTGTACTTCATGGTGTCTTGACCTCAGCTCCTGGAGACAAGGCAGGAGCTGATCTGTTGACCTGCTCCCTCAGGGCACTTTGGTGGTGGGTTCTCACAGTGAGAGCCCAACCCTGAGACAGGGGTTCTTAGAATGGGGCTTCTGCAGTGTGGGCTGGGGGGTTTGGTTCTGTGACCGGGGACCGGCTCAGGGTGTTTCTCCCGAGGGGTGTGCGGTGTGCGGAAGCTCTGTAAAGCCCCCACATAACCTGGGACTGTGTGAATGATGCTCTCACTCTCCCTGTCTCCCTGTCTTCCCACCCTCATCACAGTTCATCGTAGGCCAAAGGACTTGGATGATCTCCTAAGCTGCCAGCCAGCTCGTGGTGGGGGAGGGGGGACCCTGACTCAGCCAAGGGAACGCAGGGGCCAGGACCTCTTTCCCTTGTGGGAGCCCTCAGCCCCAGCCTGTACATACTCAGAGGCATTGAGAGCCAGTGCTGTCCAGTAGGCTTCCATGGGGGCTGTCACCACGCCATCAAACAGTACCTCCCGCACCAGCTCCTCGTCACCTGGACGCAAAATCAAAGGAGACCAATGTACTTATTTCCCCCATGATTATAAGCACAGCTCACCTGCCCTTTTGAAAATCCTGACCTTCAAGGAACAAGATGTGCCTCATAAACATGTGTCCGGAGCGTGTAAAATTACCTACGTGAATTTGAGGAAGTCACTGCACCTCTCCCAGCCTTCATTTCCTCAACCCCAGACAACATGTGAGTAGAACCAAATGACCACTAAGGCTCTTTCCAGTTCTAATGTTCTGTGAAATTATGGAATCCCTCAGCGACATCAGACTTTGTTGGTGCGCAGCCCGCCCTCCATCTCAACTCCCATCCCTTTGCTCCTTGGCCATCGCCCTCACACTCGCTGGCCTTGGCAGTTCCGTGAATTTGGATTTGCTGAGAGCCTCCACATAGGCTCTTCCCTTGGCCAGGATGCTCTTTCATGGTGTCTCTCTTTTCCCTCACTCTCTTTGGTATTTACTTTTATGGCGGCGAAATTCATATAACATAAACTCAACCAATTTAAAGTATGCAATTCAGTGGCACTTTGTACACTCACAATGATGTGCAGTCATCACATCTGTCTAGCTCCACAACATTTTCATCACCACCATCACCCTGTACCCATGAACCACTTGGGTGGTAAGTGACACTGGCTGACAGAGGTGGCCCTCCCTGACCCCTTGTTTGCAGCAGGCCCCATCTTTTCCTGTACAGCACAATCTGTAACAACCTACACCTACACACGCAGGCTTGCTTCTTCATCGCGTGGTTTCCCCACGAGATTATGAGCTCCCTGAGAGCAAGGGCCTCGCCTGGTTGGGGCATTTCTAGCTTCAGTGCCTGCTCCAGGCCTGGCACAGAGGACATGCTCAGTACAGATTGTTCATGGAATGAATGTTGGGACAGCATAGAAAGTGGAGTCTTCTCTTGCTGGTGACATGTGACAAAATGACCTGCTCCTTCTTCCAAAGAGAAAGAAGAAGTACCATGTTGAGGGTGTGTAATTTCACAGTTGAGTTAGTGGAGGGGAACCTAAGGTTAGTCTGAGAACCAGGTGCTAGAAAACACTCACAGACACAGGCTGTGGAGGCTGTCTGGTCAAATGCTCTCCTCTGCGGAGATGAGGACGGAGTGTCAGCTGCTGGCCCAGGCCCACTGCTAGGTGGTGGGGAGACAGATCTGATGGCTAGGTGGATGCCTTTACACTGTGGGAGTGTCCCTTCGGAGCCTTACAGTGCTCAGGTGAAGGAGGTTCGCAGAGATCCCAGTCCCTGACGTGGGGATGTGCTCATGTGCCCCGTTCCAGGAGTACTTAATCATCAGGCTGTCTCTGCTTTGTCTTGGGAAGTCTCCCTGTCCTCCTAGGCCATCAGTGAGTTCCCTGGAAAGAGCTACCTGGCAGCCCTCCCCTAGCCCCAGGCCTCCCCTCCTGCAAAGTCCTGAGCTGCAGGGTCCCAGAGGGAAGCCCTCATGGGCGGGCAACACGCACACTCCAGGTCTGGGTCCTCCCCTGTCAGAAAGCGGACCATAGCCTCCCGCTGGCTGAGCTTCCGGTGGTCGGGGTCAATATCCGTGATACAGTAGATCCTGGAATCCAGAGGAGTCAAAGTTACCTCAGAAAATCCTGCCCCTCTTCCTCCCTCCCTCCCACCTTCTCCTCCTCAAGTGCATTGACTTCCCCACATACCAGTCGCTGGCCAGGGTCAGGTCTGGGTGCAGCAGGTCGTGCAGGCCTGCAACCAGAACTCACACTCAGGAGGACGCTCACCCATGTGAGGACGTGCACCAGAACTGTTTCGAAACAACTGCTGGGAAGCTTCTTCAGGGAAGGGCTGGGTTTACTCTTCCTTTTCTCAGCTCAGAGTAGGGCTGGGCTGGGTTTACACAGACCATGCCTTTGTCCGTGTTGCTCCCCACTCCCTGAGAAGTTCTTTCTCCCCATTACCTCATGTCCAAATCCTAGCTATTAGTTCTCCCTTGAAGGAGCTAATACTTTGAAATCAGTGATTTCATCTTCATTGTACCCGACTGAGCTAAATGGCCAGTCAAAAGGTGATCCCAGAGGTGGGCCATGTCTGTTCTGTGTGATCTTTGTAGCCTCGTGCCCAGCCCAGCACAGCACCTACACTGACATGGGCTCCATACATTTGTTGATTGAATGAATGAATGAATGAGAAGCACCCCACTGAGCACCCTCAGTGCTCACAAATAAATAGGTGCTCAAATTGAGGTTCGTCAAATTGAATGCAAGGATGATGGCAACGCCAAGGGGGCATGCGCGGCTTCACTAAAAGAGGTTCTAGGCTGACATAGATGCAGGCAAACAGTCAAAGGGTGACACTCCTGTCCCCACAGGAAGTCCAGTTGACTTTAAGCCCCTGGATCACTGGCTGGTCTAACCCACTGCAGTGGGTGATGGAGGGCACCCATCCCTGCAGCAATGAGATGGGATATCTGGGAGAGGAAGAAGAGCACAGGGAGGAGGAAGACACCGCGGGCAGGGAAGTTTGTTTTGGGGCCGGCGGAAAAAGGAAGGAGTGTTCCAGCGTCAGGACATAGGCTGTGAAAGGGTGAATTCAGGGGACGTGGGAGCACACAGCTGGGCACATAACCCAGCCTGGGTGTGGACAGGGGTCCTGGGGGGCTCCTGGGAAAGTGAAGTGTACACTGGGCCTGAGGAGTGGGTTGGAGTTAGCTGGGATCAGAGGGTGGGGCTGGAGAGGGGAGCATTTCGGGGGAGAGTGCAGCGATGGGAAGACTTGAAGCCTAGTGTGTGGGGAAATGAGAAAAAGCAGAAGGCCAGTGAAGGTCCTTTAGCAGCAACACAATCCAATTTGGCATTTCTAGAAAGTTCCCTCTGGCAGAAAGAAGTTCAAAGAAAGGAAGAGGCAGGAGACCCACTGGAGGTGGCTATGGCTACCTGGGAGAGAGGGGACAGTGGCCGTGGCAGAGAGGAGAGACAGGTACATTCAAGGGATGGTAAAGGGGAATGGACAGAATATGGGCTTTGAATAGGGCTGTGACCACATCTCTCAAGGACGCCCTGAGCCCTGGATATAGGTTTTTTTCTCTCAAGGTGCCCAGGCAGCTGCCAGTCATGAGCAGGTTGCGTTAGAGAGGGTGGGCCCTTCTCTGCCATCCTCCCCGCCATTTCCCGCCATTCTTCTCAGGTTCACTTCCCATGAGCTCCCTTTATGGGTTGCATTGTGTCCTTCAAAATGATATGTTGAAGTCTTAACCCCCAATACCTGTGAAGGTGATCTGATATGGCAATAGGGTCTTGGCAGATGTATTCAAGTTACAATGTGGTGCCTGGTGTCCTCATAGGAAGGGAAAATAGAGACACACCAGGGGAGAAGCTATGTGATGATGGAGGGGACATGGAAGAGCTGCAGTGCAAGCCAAGGACATGGGGGCCAGCAGGAGCTGGAAGGGGCATTGGAGGCAGCCTGGCCAGCAGAACTGTGAGGGAATACTTTCTGTTGTCAGGGCCACCCAGTTTGTGGCACTTTGTACAGCAGCCCAAGCAAATGGTTACAGATTCGCTTCCTCACTCTTCCCAGCCTCCTTTCTCATGCCTTCCGCAGTCTTCCGACAGGTTAAATTCAGCTTTGTTCAGAGAAACACATCCCCTGGAGGCCTGGCCCTCTGGCCCAGCAATGCCTCCCAGGACCTGGCAGTGTGAAGTTGGCACATCTGAGGCTCTGTCGGTTTTGATGGCTGACTGGCAGATGCTGCTCACCCAGGGTGCCCGGACACACAGACCGTCCTCCCTGTAGCCCGGCTCTGATAGTCTGCCCTCAAGACCGGGACCTGGAGCCTGTCAGACCAGCTCTGGCTCCAGTTGGTCCTGCTCAGTATCCCAGGAGCATCCACTTTCCCCTCTAAACTGTCATCTGTACATGGCGCCGACCCACCTTCTTCCACAGATGTGTTCCCCAGGAGGATGTGTTCTCCGTGGCCCTGGGACAGCACCACCCCCAGGCTGTGGGGAGAGCAGAGAACCCGGGTCCTCATCAACAGCAAGTGCAAGTCAACGTCCGGTCCATGTCCTGCCCTTCACCAGCTCTAAGTGTACGAACTGTCCACATCCAAGCCCCTTGGTTCCCTCAGGACTGAGGCAGCACTTCTATTTTTACATCAGCCTTTTCCTGAAAAGGACCAGGAAATCCTACAGGCCAAAGATTCTCCTCAGCACCCATTTTAATCAAGTTGCACCCTGAACCTCTCGGGAACCCTCTGAAATGTGGAAAAGTCTCTAGGTCTCACAGGGCTCCCCACATAGAAGAGTCCTTTCCCAACTGGTGAATCCCACGATGCCTTCCTCTCTCTCCTGGTAAAACATTGCTTTTGAACCTTGGCCCAATATTTGAATCACCCAGGGAGCTTTAAAAGACTCTACCGCTGGGCTAGCCGGCTTGGCTCAGTGGATAGAGTGTCGGCCTGCGGACTGAAGGGTCCCGGGTTCGATTCCGGCCAAGGGCACATGCCTGGGTTGCGGGCTCAATCCCCAGTGGGAGTGTGCAGGAGGCAGCCGATCAATGATTCTCTCTCATCATTGATGTTTCTATCTCTCTCTCCTTCTCCCTTCCTATCTGAAACCAATAAAGAAATATAAAAAAAATAAAAAAATAAAAGACTCTACAGTCTGGGCCCCATCCTAGGAATTCTGAGTAAATTGGTTTGGATGGGGCCTGGACATTGGCAATTTTATAAAATTCCTCAGGAATTCTAATGAGCAGTCAGGGCTGGGAGCCATGCTTTATTGAGAAATGAGATAATTCAGAGATAAAGGCTATTTGTTTCCTAATCTGTATATTACCTGGAGTTAAATATTTATACTGCTGGAGGAAACCTAGGAGTTCTTTAAATTTGATCTTTTATCTAACAATTTCTTACAACTGCATGCATTAAGATCTTTAAGTAGATTATGCCATTCAATGTTCACAATACCGCCAAGAAGTAGCTAGTATTACAACCCTCATTTTACAGATGAGGAATCTAAAGCACAGAGAGGTAAAGTAACTTGACAAAGGTCACACAGCCTGTAAGCGATGAAGTTGGCATTTAAACTCAGGCAGTTTGGTTCCAGACTCTGCACAATAGGCTACACCGGCAAAGCAGGACTAGATCTCTTAAGTTTCCTGGATACAGACCTGGGTCTTTTTCTGTTGCCACAAAACTGCCAACTATGAGTAAATACATCCCCCTACCTGAAAGTTCTTCCCTGTGTTGTTGATATTTATGTTCTACTCATCCTTCCACTCCGCAAACAAAACGTGTGTCCTCACCTGAAAGGTGTGTCACTGATGTCTGTGAAGAAGTAGTCATTGGTCAGGAAAAGAACCCTCTTCTGAAAGAGAAAACAAAGATGTTTGCTGGAGAGGAGTGGCCCCCATGCCACCCACCTCCTTACCTAAAGCCCTTGGGGTTTCACCAGCTCTGTGCCATTTCTCTCACTTCTTACCTCTTCCCTAACCAGCACCAGCATGCCTCATCTCTGGACACCACAGGCAGACTCATCATCGCAGGCCCAGCAGCCTTTGGGGGTGGCCTGACTGAAGGACCAAGGGCTAGACCTGTGCTGTCCCATAAAGTGGCCAGGGAATGAATGGTACTGAACCTTGATATGTGCAAATAAGGAAATGAATCTTCAAACTTTAGTTAAGGAAAATTTAAATTGAGATCACCAATGTGTTCCTGACTATTGTATTGGACAGTGTGGGTGTAGACTGATTCTAGGCTTCATATGGGACCAGAGTGGAATATTTATGCAGTTGGAGGGAATCTAGGTGGTGCTAAAAGCTTTTGTCCAACCACCCACAACCCTTCCCTTTCTTGAATACAGCCTAGGGAGTGGGGTCACCATTCTCTCCACTAAACCTCTCCCAGGCCAGTCACTCTTTACAACTCTTTTTTCCTTTCAAAGCTGCTTCTCTCAGGTTTCACTTGCATTTACATAAATTAGAGCATCAGGTAGTGTATACAGAGGCTATGAATCAGACAGATCTGGATTTAAGTTGTGTGCTCTGAGGTAAATCACTTCATTTTTCTAAGCATCAGAATTCGCATTTGTAAATCAGGGTTAACAATAGCATCTCTTGCCTATGGTTGCTCTGAGGTTGTATGTTTTTAATAGATGGGAGTCGGTCCAGGGAACAGCAGGATTTGCGCTGGTCCACACACTCAACTTTCTGTCTTTGGGAAAGCCACATGTTCCAGTTGGCTCAGGAGCTGTTATTTCCCTCACTTCTTTCTGGCTTTTCTTGCACCTTGGAAACTGGAGCAAGATGTTGGAAGGGAGCTCTGTAGTGGTTAAAGCATTGGCTGGAGAACCAAAGAGTCACGGGCTTGATTACCTGTTAAGGGCACATACCAGCGTTGCAGGTTTGATCCCTGGCCCTGGTTGGGATGGGTAGGGGAGGCAACCAATTGATGTGTCTCTCTCACATTGATGTTTCTCTCTTTCTCCCTATGCCCCTCCGACCTGGCAACCATCAATTTGTTTTCTGTATCTATGAGTTTATTTCTGTTTTGTTTGTTTGCTCATTTTTTTTTAGGTTCCACATGTAAGTGAAATCATACAATATTCGTCTTTCTCTGTCTGACTTATTTCATTTAGCATAGTACCCTCTAGGTCCGTTCATGTTGTCACAAATGTTATTTCATTATTTTTTATGGATGAGTAATATTCCATTGTATACATGTATCCACTTGATGGACACTTAAGCTACTTCCATATATTGGCTATCTGTTTATATAAAAACCCTAGGTGTAACATCACAACTGAGGCTCGACCAACCAGAAGGAAGTCAGTCCTGCAAGGGTTGTCTTGGAAACAACTGCACCCTCCCTGAGCTGTTTCCTGCGAGGGTGGCCAGGTTTCAGGGAGGAACTCGCCCTCGGAGTGTGGACACACTGAGTCCTGGGTCGCGTTGCCAAGGGCTGCGCCCTCCCTGGGCTGTTTCCCGGGAGAGTGAGGTTTGAGGCAGGAACCGGCCCTCAGAGCATGGAGGCATATCTTTATAAAGTTTTAATACATTATATTAGAGGTTGTGGTAGTACTGTTTTACCCACAGC